CCCCCCCCCCCCCCCCGACTTCCCAGAGCCTGTACACGGTATAGATTTTTAACAAAAACAGTCTAAAATATATTGAGAAAAAAGAAATAGCCTAATCTTTATTGCCCTGTTTACAGAAACTGCCTCTCCGGTTAACCCTTATTACATTGTAACAGCTAAGGCGAAGCGGCCATCGATGTGAGTGACATTGAATTGGCCACGCCCAACCAGTCACATGACCACTGAGCCACGCACACCCAGCTGGTCATTAGGGCAGAGAACCGGTTGTTAAATTATTTGAATCCCACCACTGTAGCCTGGGTGGGTGTGGCCAGGGTGGGCGTGGCCAGCTTCACATCACTCGTGTTGGGGGCACCTGTGGTGGCCCGAGCAGGGCTGGGGGTGGGGATCCATTGTCTCCAGCAGAGGAATTCTGGGAGTTGAAGCCCACAAGTCATAAAGCGGCCAAGGTTGGAGACCCCTGCACTAGACGAATCCAGCAAGTGTGTTTACAACTCAACCATGATGTCGAGGATGATCCGCGTGGGCGTTTTCATCGGAGGGGGTCTCTCTCTTTTTCAGATACCGAAGCGGCAACCGAGGTCACATGAAGGCAGTCGTGATGGATTTGCTTCGGCAGTACCTGAAGGTGGAAACGCAGTTCCAACACGGTGGGTCGTCTCCGTTTCAGCGTTTGCATTTTCGAACCAGGGCGGTTGGGAGGAGGGACCTGACAACAGGAAGGAAGAAGCAGCTGTAATCATTCTGGCCGCCAGGTGGCAGCCTTGTCCTGGGATGTCAACCCAAAGAGGCTCTGCCAACTGATTGAAATTGTTCTTTTCTAACGGAGGGTTGACTTTCACCAGGGGTGTCAGGCAGGCTGGTTAACCGTAGTCTAGGGGGAGAGCTTTTAGAGCTGATTTCCCTTGACCCTTGACCCTGGGTAACAGCAGTTGGAATGGCCAGCCCTTCCCTCCCCCTATTAGCCCTTCAAGAGCATTGCAAGCGTTTTGCTTCAATTTCATGGATCCATCTCTGCCTCCCCATCCAACCTGTTTCAGTTAGTTCTTCAATGCTGCTCGCATGAGCCATGAATACTAACTCCTTCCTTGCTCCCTTACTCTGCCTTCACCATTCATCTTTTCCTTCCTTCCTTTCGATCTTTCCATCCTTCCTTCCTATCTGCCCTCCCTTCCCTCCCTCCCTCCCTACATCTAACTTTCCTTCCTTCCTTCCCTCCCTTCCTATCTTTCCATCCTTCCTTTCTTCCCTCTCTCCCTCCCTACATCTCTTTTCCTTCCCCCCTTTCTGTCTTTCCATCCTTCCTTCCTATCTGCCCGCCCTCCTTCCCTACATGTAACTTTTCCTTCCTTCCTTTCTTCCTTCCTTCCTTCCTTCCTTCCTTCCTTCCTTCCTTCCTTCCTTCCTTCC